ATCACCATTATCATCATTGACATCAATATTATCATATTCATCATCATTATCAACAACAACAACATCATCATCACTGACATCAAAAACATCATCATCGTCACCATCAATATGATCATCATCATCGTCATCATCATAAACAAAAAGATCATCATCATAACCATCAGAATGTCTATCTGAAACTTCATTCCACCAACAAAAGACTCACGGATGATAATGGCAATTAATATCTTAAGATGCACTGCTCTGGAAAAATGAACAGAAGAAAAAAGGGAGGAAAAACTATCCTCACCTCATCATCACCATCATCACCTCATCATCATCGCCTCATCGTCATCTTGTTATTATAATTATTATTATTATTTATTAATATTATTATTAGTCATAGCAGCAGCAGCAGCAGCAGCAGCAGCAGTAGTAGTAGTAGTAGTAGTAGTAGTAGTAGTAGTAGTAGTAGTAGTAGTAGTAGTAGTAGTAGTAGTAGTATTGGTAGTAATGGTATAAATATTATTATTATTATTGTTAGTATAGTTAATTCGTAGTATGCAAAATATGCTGTGACAGGAACAAAAGATGAAAAATTTCTTACGTCATTTTTGTCATCATCAGCATTGATGAGCATTTGAAACATTCATACGTATTTATGAAATTTGATAGTTGAATAGTGCCATAAAAGGAACTTAACTGAATTGAAGAAGAGGATTGCATTATTTATATTATATTATTCATTATTTATTATATTTATATTATTCAACTTTTATTGCGATAACTAAGGTCTATATGTTCTTCTTACATTTTAATTTAGCGTAAGACTAAATTGCAAAGAGAATGACAAAATATTTTATTCTAAATTTAAATTTTATAAAAAAAAATTTTAAAGTGATTATTTCATTAATTTTGAGTTTGAAGAACGTTTTAAATTTGGCTAACGCGATGAAGTGTGCATACAGTCTCAGTAATAATTTCAAATGCGTGAATAGATTTCCTGCCACTGCACACACAAAACGTCGCATGAAAATTTCCTAATTGAATACTTCTCTGAAAAACAACGTAAAAAAACCTGCTAGTTCTACATCTGATAATTATAATTCATCTAATTAATTTTTTGACATAATGCTATTCAAAGAAACGCAGATTGCGAAAAAGAAAAATAATGCACCAGCGATTATGCGAAACATTCAAATCGCTACCAGCGAGCGCCAGTGAAGTCAAAGAAAACGCGATAAACCACGAAACTCACACTTTTTTTAAGCCCGGATAGATCTCTCCACTAATTTATCCCCCTTTTCCAGCAGTCACGTTGCCCGAACCACAAAGAACTCGGACGGAAGACAATGCGCATTTTTTCAGAAATTATGTCAGCTGAAGGTATCATTGAAGATATCATTGAAGATATCATTGAAGATATCATTGAAGATATCAATGAAGATATCATTGAAGATATCAATGAAGGTATCACTGAATATATAATTGAAGATATCAATGAAGATATCATTGAAGGTATCATTGAAGATATCACTGAAGATATCATTAAAGATATCACTGAAAATATCATTAAAGATATCATTGAAAATATCATTGAAGATATCATTGAAGATATCATTGAAGATATCATTGAAGATATCATTGAAGATATCAACAGCTTCCAACGCCCAATCTCCAATTTTCCTGCAAATACATGAGCTGCAACAAAACTCAAAGTGTCAACAAGTCAAAACTTGAACGTTAAAAAACTAGAGAAAAAAGGGGAAAATCTAAAAATTTTAGGTAACAACAACAACACGCACGTGGAAGAAATAAAAATTTGTGCAAGCTGAGGCTGATGCTGCTGCTGATGTGATGATGATGTGATGATGATGATGATGATGATGATGATAATTATGATGAAATTGACGATGAAGTAATGGCGATAATGACACGATGAGAAGAACGATTAAATCCGACCAAACTCAGTGGCATGGTTGAAAATGTTAAGCAGCTTTGACGAGAAGACAATGAAAGACGCGTTTAATCCTAAATTCACCTCTTTCCAGCTCAGCTTTTATTTGCTTGTTTAGTTATTTTTGAAATGTTTTGTAAAAGTTCACAATTTTTTAGTAATCTGATTATTTGTTGTTCTTAACAGTTTTGTTATGAACAGAAAAAAATATCAAGTTTTTATACATTCAACATAAAGCCTCCAACTATATACTAATAACATTTGTCCGTTTGGCATATAACATGCAACACCACACATCATAAAACCTACAGCATGTGAAGCTGTGTGCGTGTGTGTGTGTGTATGTGTGTAGAAGTTTGTAAATTTTTAAGTGCGTGCGTGTGTTGTGGTTGGGCGAATGCGTTTTTAATCATTTATTTATCGACTTCTTTGATGAAGTAATGCATCATATCAAGTAGAAAATATTTTTTGGAACTTTTTATCCTATTTTTTAAAGTTTCTATTTATTTTTTTGTTTTATTAAAATTTATTTTTATTTGTTCATCTACATTTTTTATTTATTTAAAATTTTATTAATTAATTATAATTATCCATCGCCATTTTGCAACGTTGCACTAGGCGGCCAAATCGCCGCAATTAATAACCTTGCATCTCTCATCTATTTTCAATCAATCATCAATCAATTTTCTATCATCTCTACTTTTCTCTCTATTTTTTTCCTCTCTTTCTCTCTCTCTATTTTTTCCTCTCTCTCTCTCTCTCTTTATCCTTCTCTCTTTTTCTCTTTCTCTCTGTCTCTGTCTGTCTCTCTCTCTCTCTCTGTCTCTCTCTTTCTCTCTTTTTCTTTCTCTCTTTTTCTCTCTTTTCTCTTCGTTTTTCTCTACCTGTTTTTCAGTTTTTTATTTATTCATAATTTCCAGTCACCGCTTCTTAATGTTTGCCGCTTTTCTTTAATTTTCCCCATATCTCTCTCTCTCTCTCTCTCTCTCTCTTTTCCATCTCTCTCTCTCTTTTCCATCTCTCTCTCTCTCTCTCTCTCTTTCAACT